TGATGGATGAAAGAAGGAAGGCAAGAGAGACTTTATATAACTTCTACGATTTATATAATTATTATTAATTGTTATTTTTTATTGGGTTTTTTTTTTATCTTCTTACACGATTTTAGATATTTATCATTGTTGAACAATGAATTTCTAAAATCGTTTAAGTCTAGATGCTCTTCTGGCAATATCAAGATATTTAAGATATGGAAGCAATAATAATAAGTTTGATTATTAATAAGAATCATCAGATTTTAATAGTATCTAAAATAGTATTAGCGATATCGCAATGATCGAAATTGGTTTATTTTTATTCTATAGAATTATAGAATTAAAAGAAAACAATTTGGTCAGATTTGGTTATACGATTGTTGTGATATCGCTAATACTATTTTAGATGATACTAAAAAATCTGGTAGCTCTAAACTAATCCAAAAAAAAAGCGATCGCGAAGTCTTGAAAAACTCTGATTAGACCGCGATAAAAATAAACAGTCTAATCAGAGTTTTTCAAGACTTCGCGATCGCTCTTTTTGGATTAATTTGATAAGCAAACTTATTATTGAAGTTTGACAGGCGTGAATGTTCGCTTATATCTTGCATATATTATCACGATATAATCGCGGTTCTACTATGAAATTACTCTTTTTAAATTAATTAGCGCGAACTATTATTTGATTTCTTGTGGTTATGAATATGCATTTGTTACCATGGCATAATCGCAGTTCCACTATGAGATTACTCTTTTTAAATTAATTGGCGGCGAATTTATTATTAGAATTCTTGTTATCATGGCATGATCGCGGTTCCACTATGAAATTGCTCTTTTAAAATTAATTGATAAGTTTAATCTAGTTTTAACAATGCGATCACATTTTCGTTGGAACTTTGTTATTGTTTCATTATTATAATTACCAAATTTTATGTATTTATGCGAATTTAAATGACACAACAGATCATATAAAACCGTTGTTACTATTATTTTTTTATTAGCTTATTAAAACTAAAAAGAAAACTCTATTTTATATCGAACCTAATTTGCATTATTGTTTGATTTTATTCTAACCCTAATTATTAGTCGCGCATAGACAAGAGTAGTAGTTCTTCTAATAAATCGTAATCAATTGCATAGCGTGTAATAATGCGTGCAATATTTGTTATTGATGTTCGAAAATTAATGTTGCATCTATCGATATGCATATCGCTCTCAATTTGGTAAATGTCATATGATTTGAAGTCGACTCAGAGTCGACTTTAAACGACTAGACTCTAACCGACTTGAAAACCGACTAAACCGAGCTGATTAACATCCCTATAAGCATGGCTTTGCAAAAGAGAAATGTAAATCAGGTTAAATTGTTGTTTATTTCTGTGGCTCCTTTTCTTGTTGAAAACAATAAACATAGCATCTGAATTATCATAAGTCAATAGAATGTTGAATGAAACTCATTTGATGATAAAAATTAGTCAATTTATTCTAGCTTTCAAGGTTTTTTTGTTTTTTTTTTTTGAAACGCTAGTAAATATGCACGGTAAGATAATCCTATAAAAAGGAGACGTAAGTAAACAACAAATAATTTGAAAATAATGTCAACATTATTGTGCCACATTTTTTTAATGATAAAGTTTTCACTTCAGGCGCTTTTCACTCAAATAATGAAATACTCATTTTAAAAGCAGTGCAAAATTTTCTAAGTGACAAACATAACTGATCGATCTGCAGTTCTAAGATTAGTCAGAAACAGATCCTGTACCTTTTTTGAGAAACAAGAAGGTTAAGGTTTGGATACAAAAAAGTTGGAATGTCCGAAGCATCGCAAACTTCTACTTCGAAAGAAGCGCAAATAGAAATTTCTGTCCTAGAGGTAATATATGCCCATTAATGACATCAAATAACAAAATTAATCATTGATTTCTTACTCCTATTCATCCATCACTACAAATTTTTGAGAAACAGGCTCCTTCAGAAAGCTCTACATCACAAATAAGTTTCTATCGAATCCTTCAATCATTAATAAATCTAGTAAGCCCAAGTAGAGAAACCCCAGAAATAATAAGTATTTCTGATGATGAATGGGTACAACAAGGAATTATAGTAATACCGGTAGAACCACTTAGGGAACTACATTTATTAAGTGAAGAGGATCAAAAACTTTTTGAACAAATGAAAACGTGGGTGACAGATCATCCGGAAAATGGACTTATTGAATGTGTTGAAGAATTCGGTAACAAAATAAACGTCAACTCATCAAATTTTCTACATACATATATTTGTCATTAATTAGCATCATTGACATTTATTAAATAGCAACTTACCAATTAGGTGACGCTTTAGCGAAGGTGCTTTACAACTATCAATTCCCTGATTTCATCATTACATACATACATGATACAAATGACAAACGCTTACAAGAAAAAAAAATAAAACGAAAGAATTTCGAGAAATTATTGCTAAAAGCCGGATTAGTTATCGAACATGAACGAGATGGTGTTAGTGATACTGTATACATGAAATTGTTCGCTCCATTTGGAAAGTTATGCGAACAGGCAGAAGTGATCAAATTGAGGATGAGATTGGATGTAAATATTATTAAGAGTGTGTAAATTTTCATCAATGCTAAGCAAATAAAAAAACTTATTTATTTACAGAAATCAAATATGAAGGATGAATTGAAAGAACTAGAAAAGTTGATTCCTCAAATAAAACCTCATATCGCCAAAATCATGAGATATTTCACACACCCTATAAATTTTGCAAAACAGTCGACTATTTTTAAGTTAGAAAAAATAAGACAATTTGAGGGCGCCGAAGAGTCCCGATCCATAAGTGATATTATGTTGAATTTTTTTCCAATGTCACGAAGGAATTTAATGGTATTTAATAATTTATTGAAAGATGTTTACTTATTTAAATATGTGAGTGGATTTCGATTCAACTTTCTTTTAATGAATATAGGTTTATAGAGTAATAGTAATAGCTAATCAGATTCAAAAGACAGTATTATATAAAGGCAACCAAATTTTGGCTAAACGTCAAATAACAGCGTTATCTATTGACAATTTGATCAAAGACAACGTATTCCTTAGTTACTTTCCATTACACGATGGTCCCTTCACGCATGACAAAACAGTCAATGTTGAAAAATTAGTAGAACAAAGTTTTTACGGTGAACCAACATATAAAATTAGCGATGACGATAGAAAACCAATTCTTGAAAGTGTTAGTGATAAAGATGACGGCGAAAAACCAGCTTCTGATAGAAAACATAATGTGAAAGTAACTAAACGAGCTTGGCTATATGAAAATTGGGTCCGTAGTATAGGTAGACAACCATTAGAAGAGATTAGAGAATATTTTGGAGAAAAGATGGCATTATATTTTGCTTGGTTAGGTGTGTTTAAATTATTTAAACCACAATTTTTTTCAGTAAGGATTAATTTTTTCTAGCAAGCATTATTTAATCAAAATTTTAATTTTAATTACAGGTTTCTATACCACTTGGTTAACGATAGCATCTATAGCTGGTGTCCTTGTTATTGTAAATGGGATAATAGAAGGCATAAAGTAATTCTTCGTTTCATAGAAAAAGTTTAATTGTCATGATAATAACAATTTTTGTTCTGCTTTTAGGACTCAGACACTTGGTAGCGTTGTTGGAATTTCCATTATTTGGGATAATTCATTGACAGCTCCTTTTGCTTTTTTCATGTCTATATGGTGTAATTATCTGATTTATTCTTAGTTCTAATTATATTTTCTATTTGAATTTTCTATGTGAAATTGGAATGATATTTCCTGTTAATTCGTTTATTTATCGCATTTAACAGCCGTGTTGTTTTTACAATATTGGAAAAGAACAAATGCGTCAATTCAATATGATTGGGATGTTATGGAGTTTGAAAAGGAGGTTGGTTCATTACTTTTAAGTTTTTTAATGATGCGTGATTATTGTATTTTAACTCGAATTTGCGCTTAGGAATTACCAAGGCCAGAATTTTATGGAACAAGTATATTTTCTTTGATTAATAATAAATATATAATATGTATATATAAAAATATTGATGTTAAATCTATAGCCCTTCGTAAATCTCCAATCACGATGAAGCAAGAAATTCATTTTCCATTAAAACAGAGAATCCAAAAATTGGCCATTTCTGGCGTGGTTGTTTTTGTTTCCGTAAGTGATAATTTCGTTTCCTGAGTTACCTTTCAATAATTGTGATAAATTAAATAAAATCAGATTAAAATTAAATTTGTAATATTAATATAAAAATATGTAGTCATAATAAAATGTTTGA